TGCTAGCAGGGGTGACTTTGTACGTTTTTCCTTGAGATTGTCAAAACATTATAATTCTGTTTCTCCAAACTTAAATTTTCTATCTTTTCTAGTGAGGTCGTGGAGGGGCTTAGCTATGGTCAAAAAATCTTTGATGATCCTCCGGAAATATGAACATGGTCCGAGAAAACTTTGAACTTTATGAATTTTGGTTGGAATTGAAAATTTTGTATATTGCTTTAAGCCATTTTTTATCTGCTTCGATGCCTTCGCCAGTGATGACGTATCCCAAATATGAAACTTTTGACTGCATAAATTCGCACTTATCTAGTCTGAGCTCTAAATTGTTTTGTACAATTTTCAAAAAAACTTTCCTTAATATATCTAAGCGTTCTCTTACGCTTGTTGTTGCTATCATAATATCGTCTAGGTAAATTATTACTTCTCCACTTCGTATAATATCATGTCCGCAAATATTTTATTTATAAACCTTTGAAAAGTTCCGGTGCATTTTTCAACCCGAACGGCATTCTCAAACACTCAAATTGCCCAAAGGTGTAGTAAAAGAAGTATATTTAACAGATTCTTTATTGACAAAAACGTGAAAATAAGATCTAACTTGGTGAACACTCTTTTGTTTGCTAGCCTGTCCAGTAAATCATCTATAAGAGGCATTGGGTAACGGTGTTTCATCGTTACTTTATTCAGTTTCCTATAGTCAACGCACAACCGTAGTTCACCCGTTTTCTTTTTAACTAAAACTGTCTGTGACATCAATCAATTATCTTCTGTAATTCTATCTTCTCACTGTACGACAACCTCCTTGGTCCACAAGCGAAAGGTTTATTGTCTACTAACGTAAGTTGCATCTCTTTTCTTACGAGGGGCTCATCTAACTTTTCCGACTTCAGATATATTTTCCTGAACAAATCGTGAAAAATCTTTTTATCATCGTAGCTCATATGTTCGCCTACTTTCACCTTTAGTCTAAAATCCTCGCATATATCTATTGCCATAATTTCAGAAGGAACTGATACATTTGTCTTGTTATCGTTTTGAAAAATTTCCGGTTTCTTTATATATCGTTTGACTGAACTTCGTACCCTTCACTAGCCCTGCTTGTGTTTTCTACCTTGTTTTCATTGCCTTGTACTGTCCTATCTAAAAACTCAACATTGTCAATTTTAAACTTTGCATCAGGAATACCTTCAACAAGGTAGTCAGCTAACTCTTCATCTTTTAAAATTTCGACCTTCAAATCTGCGACGTCGTACTAGTGTACTCTCACTAGACGCAAACACCAACTTCATCTCTTGTAACAAATCATCCACGTTTTTGGGTACAGTTAATTTCGCACTTTACCAAGCTAATGCCGCTCCTTTTAATTTGAGACGTATAGAGACGCCTAACATAGCCCGTTATTACACTTCTCACGCCATCGCCCGTTACGTTGTTCTCACCATTTTTTTTACTTTCTACATTTTGTTCAGCTCGTACAATTCCAGCTCCCTCGTTGTCGTTTAAATCTTTTTCAGGGCACAGTCCACGCGCTTCAGCCGACAATTCGTTGAGCCTGGCTGCCAATGAAGCCTTTGCACCGCTTGCGTTGACGCCTACAGCAGCGCACCACTTCTTTAGTTGAAGAAGTGAATATTTTTCAGCATCTACTGTTGTACAATTCATTTTAATTTGTATTTATGAATGTATATTAAATACAACTTTATATAACTTTACTTTCTTCCTTTCATCCAGGCCAAAAGATTGATTAGCAAACTAGCGTATAGGCTTTATCTATCAAATCTTGTTCATCGAAATAAAGACGATGTGCTATTTTGAATTTTGAATCAATGAAAAGGTTTCTTTCTTTCTGATTTCTGTTCTCAACACTATTCGCATGGCTATAAACAAAGCAAACATCGTAGAGTTTTGGACACCTTGTATTGTATTTTTCTCATTGAAATCATCAATGTTTTTCTGTCTTTAAAAATGTTATTCACACGTAATTATTGTTGTCATGTTACTCTCTCTCTCTCAGATTCTTATATGAGCTAAGAATGCAAAACGAGTAATGCAGAAATTGAAGATTTTCGATGATCCGAAAAAATTTAGTTTATTCATATTCATAAATATTTCATTTCTTTTTTTTTAATTAAAAAAGGTCTTTAAACGGTAGTTATTAAAAAAAATACAAAAAACAGAAAACACTTGTTCAAAATTATAAATCTTTCTTAAAACATTGAACACTTAAATTCACCACTCTATAAAAGGGAAACAATTCGTTGTGTTTAAGCGCCAAATCTATATCACAATGTAAATGCTGTGAGCGCCAACTTCAAACTTCTTATGTGAATAAAAACAATAATATTGTCAAAAAGAAAATTGGTTATAGTTACAAAAAATTCTATGAATTTAAAAAAAAGGAAATTAATTTTTTATTTTTTATTTATTTCGTATCGGCAAGCGTAGAAGAAAGTCCCACTTTCCATACAATGGTTAAATAAAAGAAAAGAGATAAGACTTTCACAATTTGCGTTTTCAAAGCTTTTACTTATTAAAATTAGCATCGTTTCCTTCAATTTCAATACCGTTGAGTTCATGCTTAATCTCTTCCTCAAGCCATTGCTGAATTAGTTCTTCGCGGCTTCTAAAAGTTTCTGAAAAAGTTCTTTTAAATCTGCCATTTAGATCTAGCCAAGTTATCCTTTAAAGAAAACTAACAAGATATAAAAAAATATTTAAACAATTTCACTAGCGTTTGATAAGAAGACGTTACAATAAGGCAACATAATTACTGACGTGGTTGTCTGTCAGAAACTATTTCGCTTTCACCGTCGCGTGCATTGTACATTCCTACAAGTAGAAAAGCTGTAATATGGTAAAAAAAAACATCTGTGCTTATATAGGGATGTAATAAATATAACTGAAATGAATTAAAAATGACCAGCGGAGTTAAATTTCACGATTTTTGAGGTCACGAGACAAACACTCAATGCGATATAAAGCGGTCACCAAAAGTTTCCTACAATAAAGATTCGTTGGCTGTATGTCATATGTCGCCGTCCTGTTAGAACCAAAGGTAATTCACATTAACATTTTTCTTATTCCGGCACGAAAAAATCACTAAACATCGTTCTATAGTGTTCCACATTGACTGTAACATTATAGCAGTCTTCATTTTCGAAGAAATATGGACTACTGAATATCTCATCTCATAGAGCACATCAAACAATGACCGAGGATGTACCGTTCGGATGAGGCTTTTGTATAAACTGTAGGTCCCTCCATTTGTTGGAAAAATACCAAGACGGAAAACCACAAATTGGAGAATTAGCTCGGCCGAAAATCGCTTTGGCCGTTACAAAGAGCAAATTGTATATACGATATATATATATGCGACATTTTGTTTATTAACGCGCCCGTTCAACCAAAAATGAGTTTCTTTCCAGCTCGGTCGCAGCGCGCGATACGTTATTTCGGTGATGAATTTGCTCGATTTGCAAAGACTGTTCACATATTAAACATTTGCGTTCTTTTTTTTTATTGTGTTTAAGTATTGCTTTTCGACAACACCGTTGAGGTCACAATAAAGACAGGACCGATTTATTTGGTAATAGAATTCAAATACATGGATACATCAATGGAAGCTTTTTTTAATAAGGCAGTGTCTTGTCCACTGCTCAACCGGTAAAGCGTTTAGAAATATTTTAAAAGCAAACACTAGTATAGAAAATCTAAATAAACAACGCTACTTTGCAATTTTATTAGACATATTTAAAAACCTTTTTCATATGAAAAATATGGAAAAATAATAATTATTTATGGTCCAAAATATTTGGAGCATTGAAACGCATTGCGAATTTCTCAATATGATTAACATCTCTGATATGAAGTGGCTCACGATTTATAAACAAATCAATAATTTCGGAAAACAATCATCTTATTGACTATGGTATTGCTAAAACTTTGATCAACGTTTTTTTAAAGCATATATCATTACAAATTTAAGGCTGGAAAAAATCTTTTAAAACCAGTCTGCGCCAGACTTTACAATGGTCATTCCTAGCAGGAAAATATTCAGCATAGTTGAGAAATAAATAAAATTACAGAAGAGATAAAAATCGATTTTATTGTTCAGAAATAAGAAGAAAAATGTTTAGAAATGCACACAAAATTGTATAATATGCAGCAATTATAGATTTCGTCGTCATTCCAGATAAGGAACGAGTATATATGTTCATATTAAAATTGATATTAAAGTTCATCAGAGACTTACTCCGAATTTCCAATACAAAAACATACTGAGTATAACTCAAACATAAAGAACACAAACAAAGCAAAGGTTTAAAGTTGCTTATGCAGTAAAAATACAATTTCACCTCGCATTTGACAGAAGCGTATTGAATTTAATATCTCGACAAACTCGAAATATCTTTTTTCAAAATGCGATGAATAGTTAGTTACACAGTCTGACATAGGTTATCAAGGACAATTTATTTATGTACAAACGACATAATCGGTTTAACATGTTTTGTCTTAACATTTTCTTGTGCTGTATTTTATGAAAAGATCCGCAAGGCCTAGCCCAACTTGAATAGTATGTTGTTATTAGTTTAAGCTTTGAATAAATATCAATATCATTTTTCCAGTTTGAAGTATTATGCAATATAAATATCTAATTAAAAAAAGCAACTCTGCAAACGTCTAAATTATTGAATAATAGTAATATACTGGAAAAGTAATGGGAGGATTGGTTACATTATGCTCTGCTTGGGCATGACGGTAAAATGGCTATGACTTTTTGGAACTGATGTGAATAACCCAAAATAGCAGTTTTGCTCTATATATATGTATGTACAAATACAACATAAATAAATAGCTTAGACTCTTTTAATACTTTCCTTTTCTGTTTGACCGGTCTGCGCCGGTCGAGTATATTATTTAATTTATGTACACAATGTTTGTCCAATAGAATTTATTACTCATTTAATATTATTTTTGTCCTTTATTTTTATTATACTTAGAGCGGTAGCAGCATATCTGCGGGCCTTGAGTTTATCACCAAATAATGCTGTTGTACATGGAAACTTAGCATGCGTCTATTACGAACAAGGACTTATTGATTTGGCTATTGATACGTATAAACGTGCTATAGAACTGCAACCAAATTTCCCCGATGCTTATTGTAATTTGGCTAACGCGCTGAAAGAAAAAGGACAGGTAATTCTATATTTATGTAGTATTTAAATTAATATATTTACATAGCATGGTGCCAATTTGAAATAAAATCATTTTGTTGTATGTAACGTGTGTAAGTATTGTATTCGGTTGGGCAACAAAAAAAAACTAGATATTTGCCTTTTGCTGTACGAATGATTTAGACGGAACCAAGGATCATGTAAGTGATTCCAGTTTTGTTTGACTGAAATAGAAGGTATGACAACCAAGTCTACGAATACTACATATCAACTACCCAAGCTTGTTTTCGGTCTGAAGGCCCATCCAACATAGAATTTGTCTGCAAAATAGCACGATGAGGTTTATGAAGAATCCGTCTACTTCGCCGCACTCTTTGACACAAAGTGATTGTGATTTCAACAATTTAGTACGTGATATAATCCTGAAAGCCAATTTTCTAAAGCAGGCGAATTAGTTGATTGTAGTGACGTTCCTATAGTGATGAATTTATTAAATTTTGAGTATGATCACTGGCGATCGTTTATTAACTCTTCTTGAATAACGAGGAAAAACTCGCCGAAAAATATTTTTGTAAATGTTGTCCAAAGCGTTCTTGGAAATCATAAAGTTTAAATTATTGTAGTTTTTTTCTTGCATTTTTTAGAATTTTTTTTTTTTTTTTTTGTGACAAAAGAGTTTCAGTTTTGTTGACCAGAGTCATATGCGAAAATGTGTTGGATGTAAACTTTCTTGAATGATTTATTTGTATATTAGGGCTAGTAAAAAGTAATCAATTACTTTTACTTTAATTGAAGCTTTCCATTGTTAGAATTATCCTATTTATAGCAAATATGCATCGTTTTTCTCCATAACTTATTTTATGTTAGGAGTCGGTAGACTGCGTTGGTCACCAGCCTCGCTAGTGTCGGCCCGAAATAGCTCGCCGGAGCTATGCTTGGATATAGGCTACAAAAACAACAAAACAAAGAAAGTTCGAAAGGAACTTAGGTAGGATAGAGATGAGAGGGATATTGAAAAAAGACTGGGAAGGAGAGTTCTGTCCGGTTAGGTGAATTAGAAAATTACCTTTAGTTTGATGTATAACTTGTAAATATTTAAATTACCCTTTAATAGATACATATGTATATATCTTTACCGGCTTCGCCTTGCACAGTATTTATGAAGTAAGCACTTCATGCGCATAATGTATCCAATTGGGAACAAAGCTTGTTAAAGCGATTTAATCAGTATATTCGTAACCATAATATTTCCAATTGTTTTTGCACAAATTCCTACCTTTTTTAAAGTTGTCGAGAAATAATTCCCCGCGAAACTTTCTGTTTATACGATATTGGTATAACTCATTTTGCATGACAGTATGATACAATATACATAATACCAAAGCGAACATAGACACTCGCCATTTCGTAGTATTCAATTCGTGCAACGGATAGAAAATCCTCTTTACAGATCTTTATTCCGAAGTCCAATTCAAATAAATTTTCTAAATGAGACATATTTTGGAAAGGAATTTATGTACGAACTTCTGTGAACTTTGCTCTGTAAGGAATTTTTATTTCTTACCAGAAAAATAAAAGAAAATTAAAGAAAATTTTAAAAAGCAAATTAATATTAAGATATGATGACTATTTATGATAAGAAAAAGACAAAATAATTACTCTTGGGTGAAGGTATAAAAATCTACAATAAAAATGATATGATGTAAAAGTACAAAATAATAATAATTGCTACTTTTTGAGCGATATGTTAAATTTGAAAAATGAACAATTATTGATGATTATAAAGCGAATTTTTTAGTGAAACTCATAATGATTACAATCTCTGTTTATTTCAGGTTAAGGATGCCGAAGATTGCTACAACACAGCATTACGCTTATGCCCAAATCATGCAGATTCACTTAATAATTTAGCAAATATCAAGCGTGAACAAGGGTATATTGAAGAAGCAACTCGTTTGTATCTAAAAGCATTGGAAGTGTTTCCGGACTTCGCAGCAGCGCACTCCAACTTGGCTTCGGTTCTTCAGCAACAAGGAAAACTAAAAGAGGCTTTAATGCATTATAAAGAAGCTATTCGTATTCAACCTACTTTCGCAGATGCATATTCCAACATGGGAAATACATTAAAAGAGCTTCAAGACATTAATGGTGCTCTTCAATGCTATACACGGGCTATTCAAATTAATCCTGCATTTGCTGATGCACATAGCAATCTTGCAAGTATACACAAAGATTCAGGAAATATTCCAGATGCCATACAGTCTTACCGAACAGCCCTGAAGTTGAAACCAGATTTTCCTGACGCATATTGCAATTTGGCTCATTGTTTGCAAATTGTGTGTGATTGGACAGATTATGACGCTCGAATGAAAAAGCTTATTAGCATTGTAGCCGAACAACTAGAAAAAAATCGTTTGCCCTCGGTTCATCCACATCATTCAATGCTATATCCATTATCCCACGAATTTCGTAAAGCAATAGCTACTAGGCACGCTAACCTTTGTTTAGAAAAAATTCATGTATTGCATAAACCTCCATATAAGTTTTCACGTGATTTGCCTGCTGATGGCAGATTGCGTGTTGGTTATGTAAGCTCAGACTTTGGCAACCATCCTACCTCTCATTTGATGCAATCGATACCGGGACTTCATGATACTTCACGCGTGGAAATATTTTGCTATGCTTTAAGCTCAGATGACGGAACAACCTTCCGATATAAAATAATTCGTGAAGCTGAACATTTTGTGGACTTGTCGCAAATTCAGTGCAATGGTAAAGCGGCTGATCGCATTTATTCCGATGGTATTCATATACTGGTCAATATGAATGGATATACTAAAGGGGCACGCAATGAAATATTTGCACTACGACCTGCTCCTGTACAAGTTATGTGGTTAGGGTACCCAGGTACCAGCGGTGCCAGTTTCATGGATTATATTGTTACCGATCCTGTCACTAGCCCAATGGAACTCGCTTCCCAATATAGTGAAAAACTGGCATATATGCCAAATACATACTTCATTGGCGATCATAAACAAATGTTCCCGCATCTTAAGGAACGCATTATTGTGTGTGACAAACAACAATCATCTGTTGCTGATAATATTGCAGTCATAAATGCTGCAGATTTATCGCCACTTGTAGAAAATACGGATGTTAAAGAAATTCGAGAGATAGTAAATGCCCAAAAACCTGTTGAAATCACACACAAAGTTGCAGAACTACCAAATACTACTCAAATTGTTTCAATGATTGCTTCTGGCCAAGTCCAAACATCGGTTAATGGAATTGTTGTTCAGAACGGGTTAGCTACCACTCAAACAAACAATAAAGCAGCAACGGGAGAGGAAGTTCCCCAAAATATTGTCATAACAACAAGACGTCAATATTTATTACCCGACGACGCAATCGTGTATTGCAATTTTAATCAATTGTATAAAATAGATCCTCAAACGTTACAGTCATGGGTTTCCATTTTGAAAAATGTGCCAAATTCGGTGCTATGGCTGCTACGGTTTCCAGCTGTAGGAGAACAGAACATTAAAAAATGCGTAGAATCATATGGTGAGTTCGGAAATTCCGTTAGTAAGTTTAAAATTTATTTAGAACACTTGACATAGAACAAATTATAATTTTATATAATGTACAGCTCTAGCAGCCTACGTAGCAGAGAATTCTGCGCACCAGTTTTTAAACATATGAATATTATTTATTGGATCTCACCTCACCGTGCAGAGCACCACAAAGAGTCATAAATGTTAAAATTAATATTAAATATATTAGCCAATTAGCACTTTCTTCTCTTCAGATGCCCTTGAATTTCTGTGGTAGTTTAAGCTTTTTCTTTCTGCATCTTAAGTCGGATTCTTGCAGAACCTTGTTATCAGTGTGTAAAATACATTGATATAGAGGTACTTTCTTTTGTCCTGTTTAATAATTGTTAGGAACTTATTTCCAAGCGTTATGGGGAAGTCACTAAATTGCTTCTCCGTTATTATGAAGAGTGACGGGTAAAAATTGACCCTCAGCTAGGCAAAATCAAATCACCGCTGGTTCCTACAAACGGGCAAACGTAAGTAATAATTCATTTACATGACGCTCGGTTAAGATAGGTTGTATCAGCTGAGTCGTAAAGTTTTTGGCCAAAGCGAGATCAAGCCCACAATTTCGAATAGCTATCGAAAGTGATGGTAATCAGTTTGAAGCATAGGAGTGAAAAGACTATGCTATAAATGTTATATATTTTGTGGAAGGAGAATTCCAGTTCCGGAACCTGTGCTTAGATGACTTCATTCAGTGTATCACCGATTAAGAACCTATAAATATATTTTGTTTGTTCATTGCTTTTGTACGCTATTTTCGTGTCGACAGTGTTCTTTCCTCGTTATTCCCCTGCCTATCCTTATAGAATCCAGCAACCCGAGTCCAGTCACATAGGACAGTAGCACAGGAGAAGTGCGAGTGGGTCCGTAACCAATTTGGGTGCACACGAAAATATATTTTGTTTACTTTGTCCCATATAGTTGATTTTTGTTTCCCAGTTATTGTTTTTCATCTGTTTATATCAGCGTTGGTAAATTTATCTTGATATTCCTTTTTTTGGGTAATATTTTTGTTAGTTTATTTAGCCCACGATGCACGCCATCGCATCTGTGAGTTTTTGCCACATTCTTCTTTGTGCGGTGATTCGCTGTGGTTGTCGGTAAGCGCTTGACCAACAGTCCTGTGGGCATATTTGTTTGTACATAGTACATACTTCTTTCTTTTTTATTGGCGTTGTCACCGTTTACGCGATTATAGTCGAATTAGGTTGGAAATACCAAGTGAGGTCTGGGCACTCTCCAACTGTTTATTCCAACGGAGTGGAGGTATTCCTCTTCCTCTGCTTCCACCGGCGGGTACTGCATCGAATACTTTCAAAGCTGGAGTGCTTTCAACCATTCGGAGGACATGACCTAGCCGCTGCCTCTTCATTCGCTGAACTATGTCAATATCATCATAGAGCTCGTACAGCCTCATCGTTCCATCGTCTGCGGTATTTGCCGTTGTCAATGCACAAAGGACCATAAATCGTTCGCAAAACCTTTCTTTCGAAGACTCCCAAAGCCGACTCATCAGTTGTTGACATCGTCCATGCCTCTGCGCCATGTACAATAGTAGGACTAGTATGATGAGCGACTTGTATAGTGTGGTTTTCGTTTTCCTACTCAGTCCAAAGTAGCAGTTGGCCAGAGTGATTCTACGTTGGATTTCAAGCCTTACATTATTCTTGGTGTTGATGCTGGTTCCTAGATAGACGAAATTATCTGCGACTTCAAAGTTATGTCTGTCAACAGTGACGAAGGAGCCAAGTCGCGAATGCGTTAACTGTTTGTTTGATGAGAGAATAAATTTCGTCTTGATCTCGTTCACTACCAGACCCATTCGCTTCGCTTCTTTATCAAGCCTGAAAGCAGAACTAACGGCGCGGTTGTTAAAGCCGATAATGTCAATATCATCGGCGTATGCCAGTAATTGTACACTCTTAAGGAATATTGTATCTTCTCTATTCAGCTCTTCAGTTCTTATTATTGTCTCCAGTATAATATTGAAGAAATCAAAGAGCCGTATAAGTTTTGCTGGGATATGAAATTCAGGCACAGCGGTCCTTTTCGTGCTGCCGAAGGCTGCTTCAAAATCGACGAAGAAGGCGCAGAAGTCTGCATCGCCTTTTTGGTGGATTGGGCAGAGTACACTTAGGTTCCAATCGTCGGGCATGCTTTCATTTGACCATATTTTGCAAACAAGTTGATGCATGCACCTTGTCATCTCTTCATCGCCTAGTTCGAATAATTCTGCCGTTAGACCGTCATCTCCAGCCGCTTTGTTGTTTTTAGCGGGCAATCGCTATTCGGACTTCGATATCGTCAAGTAGCGATACGTCTATTTCATCGTCATCAATTGGGATTTCGGGTCCACCATCTCCGGGTGTTTTATTTTCACTGCCTTTCAGCAAGCTGGAGAAGTGTTCCCTCCATAAATTCAGTCACTAGATCACCCCTCTGGGTTCTGCAAGAGTTTGCTCCGGTCTTGAAACCTTCGTAAGTCACCGTATCTTCTTATAGAATTTTCGAACATTCTCATTTTCGGCCAGCTTCTTAAGCTCTTCGTACTCACTCATTTCGCCCTCTTTCTTTTTTTTTTTTTGACTGCAAATGCGACTTGGCTTCCCTCTTCAGCTCTCAATATCTATCAAACCCCGCACGTGTTATGGTCGATCGTGGGGTTGCGAAGTAAGCAGTCTGTTTTTTCTCCACTGCGGTTCGACATTCCTCATCGTACCAGCTTTTTTTCTGGCACTGCCGAAAACCAAATATTTCCGTAGCGGCGATACGTAGGGAGTTTTAGATGCCGTTCCACGGTTCCCTTATACCAAGGTGCTGATGAGTGTTCTCAGAAAGCAGGTGTGCAAGCCAAGTAGGAAGTCGCGCTGTAGTCTGTTGTGATTGCAGCTTTTCGACGTCGAACCTTCCTTGCGTTTGTTGACGGATGTTTTTTGATACACAGAGGCGTTTCGGTATTTTCGACACTATCTGATTTTGTGTTTTTCGATCAGGGGACACAAAAAGTAGCTTTTTGAATTCTCTTGTGCTGTAAGCTAGTGCTACAGATAACCATATTTCGGGCGCCGGCAAAGTCGATCAGCCTCAATCCTTTTGGGGATGTTTCGTCGCTGAGGCTGAATTTTCCGACCGTTGTGCCGAATATACCTTCTTTGCCCACCCTGACGTGGAAGTCGCAAGGCACGATTTTGACATCGTGTCGGGGGCAGCGTTCATTAGTATGTTCAAGGCGCTCATAAAAGCCATCCTTGGTCACTTCGTCTTTCTCTTAGGTCGGGTCGTGGGCGCAAATCAACGATATGTTAAAAACGATATTTGCGCTCCTTTATATGGCCTCTGTAGTAAATTTCACAAGGACATCAACAAGCTGGGCACAGGCATCTTCCCAATTAAGGGACCGGACATTCCAGGTGAATGCCCTCAAATCGTAATCCTTAAAACATATGCGGCGACGTCATCGAAAGGGGGGTCTCTCATCCGAGGCATAATGCTTACAAACATACATATCGTCAACAATAAAATGTAGAGGGGAATAATTGGCGCCCAACGTGGGCCTGGTGTTTAAAAGATATTTTTTATTTAATTTTTTTTCAGCGTGTGATTTGGGTTTTAAAATTAAAAAGCAATGTGAAGTGAAGTGTAAAGGTTTCGAGTCCAAAGTTCTCATCATTCCAGTTCTTCTAAATGTCGCAAAAGCGTGAAACACAGCTACATCCGCAGATCCGACATTAGGAGTTTGGCGAACTTTGCGAATTGTAAGAAATTAACGACGAATAAAGATACAGCAAATGAAAATACAGCGGCTACGACGAGAGCTCAACAACTCTGCCTGCCAAAAAGAAGTGTAGGGTACGATGACGATGACACGGGTCTAATAATATTTTATAATGTTTACTTTATGAGGATTGCCTAGTCATTTGTCTATAGGGGTGAACGATAATACTCGGCGACTAAGTATCTCCAATACCAAACTTTTAGTCCTGTGTATATTCACTGTAATACAAAGACCTATTTTCTTTTCCTTGTCCCTTTCTTCGGATTTCCTGGATGGCTATGGTGTCAATTCTACTTATGAAGCTAGCAAGATTTACGACTGTTTGTGGCTGCGCCTAAGTGAACATGAATACAATAATAGATATTAAACCTCGGAAGCATATAAAAAAGTAATAAAATAATAAGCAAAACTAAAACATAAAGCCCATTAATAGGGATTGGCTACTGACTTGACATTGGTCTTCAATAGGTTGGGTTGTCTCTTCTCTTCAGGCTTCCATACATCCATATCGGTTCTATTATTGGATTATATAGGATTTTGTTGTTAGGGCTCAATACAATGTAGATTTGAGTTTGAGCAGCAAATTTTTAACGGTTATCTGTCGTCTCTAAGTGAAGCACCTATCTAACTGGGTTTCGAAGTATGTAAGGTCGTCAGCTTGCGGAATTGATAGGTGTACATACTGTGAGGCATGTTTTTGGCTTTAATGTCAAAGTAATTAATTTCTAGGTGCCATCTTACTAGCCATTCTTCAATTGGTTTAAAATTTTGGTATAAAGCTTTTACGACTGTAATGGGACGGAACATCTGCCGTTATTAGATACTCCTTTTTATGTACAATTTTACGGCGAATCGTCTGTTGGATAAGTAGGATTCACAGATATTGTTCAGCGTATTTCGTAATAATGGTTTAATTTTATGAATGAGACCCCCACGCCACACCTTGTCAAGGAAAACGGCCGAGCAGTTCTCTGAATTTAGCTTTAGCTTCTGAGCTTATCTAAAATACGACTCGGTTGGATCTTTGAATGTGGATTACACATGGCACAAAAAACTTGTTGCCATTTGTTGAATAGATATTTATGTTAATGTTCGAAAAAATATATGAAGTTAAGTCGAGACTTTCATATTATATATTCTTCTTATGAAAACATTGTTCGAACTTTTTTATTGCATACATATAATTAATTAAATATATCTTAACTTGAATTCCTATTTTCTTTAAGGGCTGACTGCTGATCGAATCATTTTTTCAAATGTGGCTGCCAAGGAAGAGCACGTCCGTCGTGGTCAGTTAGCTGATATATGCCTCGATACGCCTCTTTGTAATGGTCATACTACGTCTATGGATGTCCTTTGGACGGGAACACCTGTTGTTACTTTACCCGGAGAAACTTTAGCTTCAAGGTAAATATACTTTAAAATTTAATAAGCATACTACATTTGGTCCAGTCCAATGAACCAGAGTTTAACCAGAAAACCACGAAAAAGCGTGGTTTTGTGTGTAAATACAAAAAAAGCACTAAAACTCATTAAACTATTGTTGTTGCTTCCGTGTTAATAAGAGGCCTTCAGTCATGTGTTCGCTCACATCGCCTTTGATTAGAATAAGTTTATTATACTATACAAATATGGCTGATCCGTGATTAATACAATTCTTGAAATTTGTGCTAATGTTACCGAAATAGATTCATATATTGTATTTGGTCCAGTTTCCCATGTTTTGAGCAATTTATCAATGGCACCCGAAAATGATGTAGACTACTAAGGTTGATGTTTACTTGGGTTTTCAAAAGAATTTCTCTCTTAACCCTTTTTCGTCGGAGTTTGATGTTATCAATATTTAACCCTCCGTCCGACACCACACTTTATATACTTTCGTCCTATATTTATACAGGTTTATATGGGAAAAAGTACTATATGGAGAGGCTCATATTTAGAATGGAAAAAAAGCCATTTGTTTACCTTTTTTATGCTTTGTTTATGAGTCATTTCAATACTGTTTGGACAAATGTATACGGATTTGAATGGATTTTCTTATGAAATTTGATACTAACTAGCATCGGTCTGTGGAACGCAAGCAAAACATGTATAATTGGTTTTCGAATGCTGTACACAAACTGGATTTGAGCCAATGCAAGGAATCGTCTATATGACATAGCAGCACGAAAGATGAGCAAAGCATCTGAATGCCATAAAAGTGCTGACTCTTGCATATTATTGCTTGTAACACCAGCAGCAAAAAGTATACCAATAAATGCATCAAGCTCAGTACTAGTCAAATCAACCCAAACTCTTGGCTTTGAATCTGGATTTTCTTCATTCCATTTTTGAGTAGCAATTTTTGCATTTCGATTTGTTTCGAAAAGATCTGACGAATTTCAAGTTATTCGCCGTTCCATGGCGACATAAGAGATTTTTTCGAATATGTCAGTTCCCGGTCCGCTTCCCGAAATATTTGTTCTTGTGAAATGAATGTCATGTGATGTGGTAACTTTTGGACATTTTTGGAGATTACTGGATTTTTATATATTATTTATATTTTATATATCATATATATAATTTTGCTTTTAATTAAGTATTCATATTACTCACGCTTTTTGCGTTATGTGCAAAGAAAGACAAACATTTAATATCGTTTGTTTGGTTAATATTTATCCAGTTCAGTTTGCAGACGATTTCATTTTTCTAGCTTGACGGGGGCATTAGTCTCAGCGTGAAATATGGCTGTATCAGCCACAAAAGTATTGGGTAGAGTAACCATTCATCTATTATTATTTTATTTTGGTGATCTGTACTTCGCGTTTTATATTAAGTGCGATGGTACTGCACTAGATGGCGTTCGAGAGATGATATTTTGTACTAAACTAATTAAGTTTTGTAGCACATGTCAAAGATGGATACCATGAAATTGAAAACACGCTGTATTCCATAATTTCCCTTCCATACTGGCGAAAACGTAAGTGAGGCAGCTGAAAATGTGAATGGTCGTGATACTGTAAAAGTCAGTTATGCTATTGTCGAAAATTTTAATAAACCAAAAGAATTCATCGAGTCTGACCGTCGAACGCCGTTGAAAAAGGCTATATGCACAAGGAACCTCGATGTATGGGTGCCACTTGACTCGTAAAAAAAAAGTCGGAGCGGATGGCGACTAATGATGAAAAGTGGATCACTTACAGCAAGTTCAAACAAAAATGGTCGTGATCGAAAGTCAGTGAGCCGGCGCTAACGGTATCCAAGTCAGGTGCGACGGTCAGGATTAAATCATTCACTACGAGCTGCTCTCCTATGGCCAAAAGCTCAATTCGGCCCTCTACTGCCAACAAATGGACCGCTTGAACGCAGCACACATCCAGAAGAGGCCACCTTTGATCAACGGAGGCCGAATTGTGTTCTATTAGGACAAAGCCAGGTCCTAATGCACCTATCTTATAGTCCGGACCTGGCACCAAGTGACTACCATCTTTCGCTCGCCTAATCAATATTGAAGTGGTTAAAAATTACACATTTCTATGTGGAATCGGTTTTCACAACATATCCATTTCATGTTCCAAAACAAAAAAAAAAAATTGAAATGAATTGTGTGAAATGTAGAACTCTAAAATGTTAATCTCCCTTTTCAATCCACTTTCACTTGAATTATTAACTAAAATAGTTGCAAATTAGGAGCGGATAGCGTAGTGACCCTCGTGGTTTCACATATTGTTTGTTGTAAATATAATTTATATTAAAAATAATTTACAATCATCTCACGCATGTTAAATTAAATAAAAATCAAAAAAAGAAATATAAAAGCATTCGACATGTCACATTAATTAAATTAAAAATAAACAATTAATTATTTCGATAGTTGGTTTCTTGTAATTATCTTGAACGAAACCAATTAAACTTCAATTATAGTGCCTATTTGGCATAGGCTCTTTTTCATTTTAATTTCTTAACCAATATGAAATTTTTAATTCCTCAGTCAATAAATAATTTTCATATTGTTAATACATGTGTGCCTTTGTAATTTTTCATTACATGTGAAATCACATAATTTATTCTTGCCTATCAAAAATATAACACATAAAGTGATTTCAATTAAGCAAAAAAGCAAATATTACTATAATACAACAATTGGAATACCAACATTGAGCAAAAGAGGAGGAGAAGTAGTTGTGCAGATACACTTTACAATTAAATAAACGAGAACCGTACGACGAAATTGAATCATAACATATGAAATTCTTTGTCAATTTAATTACCATCAACAACTGTCAGATATACTTTCTACGATGTTAAGTGCAAGTAAAAGTGTATGAGTACGGGTCGATATTGAACCACATCAACAGCGTTAGAAGATAGTACGAATTTGTTTGTCAGAAATGATCAGCTGCTTTTAGTTGTGAGAAAAATTGTATTTCTGTAATTATGCAAAATTAGCGTGAAATTGATATTGAATCGTCTGAATTACTTTCTTACTTTACTAGCGTAGAGACCGCTTACGCGATTATAGCCGCGGTAACAACTTTGTTTGGCGCCAATTGGAAATACCAAATGAAGCCAGGTTACTCTCCACCTAATCCTTCCAACGGAGTGGAGGTCATCCTCTTCCTCTGCTTCCAACAACGGGTACTGCAGCGAATACTTTCAAAGCTGGACTGTTTTCAACCATTCGGAAGACCTGAACTAGCCATCGTACCCGATGCTTCTTGATTCGCTGAACTATATCAATGTCGTCTTATAACTCGTACAGCTCACCGTTCCAACGTCTGCGATATTCGCCGTTGCCAATACGCAAAGGCAAAAACTGTTAACGTCGACTCATCATATGTTGTCATCGTCCATGCTTCCGTACCATGCAGCAGTACGGGAAGGATGAGGGACTTGTAGAGTTTCGTTTTCGTTCGTCAGGGAGGACTTTACTTTTCATTTGTCTCCTCAGTCCAAAGTAGCACCTGTTGGCAAGAGTAATTCTGCGCAAGTATACCCGACGATTGGAGTCTAAGTACCCCTGCGGGTTAGGGGCTCAAGAATTTACCCGCGGTAAGGCATGCCTGTCGTAAGAGGCGACTAAAATCCAATAGTTCCCGCGACAGTCGGGTCTTTATACCGGAGCGACCCGGATTTTTATCCGGCCAAGGACTGTCACTCCCGCAACATTCCCCAAAAAGTACTTTGGGGAATAATTTTGCGGTTATAACAACAACAACATTGGAGTCTAAGTTTTTATTGGTGTTGATGCTGGTTCTTAGATAAACGAAGCTATCTACGACCTCATGACTGTTAACAGTGGGAGTCGAATCGCGAATGCGATGGCTGTTTGTGTGATGACAGAAGATATTCCGTCTTGCGATGTCTGGTGAAAGCAGAACTCACGGCGCAGTTGTTGAGGCCAATAATTTCGATACCATCGGCGTTGGCCAGCAGCAGAAAATTGTACCTTCTCTATTCAGTTCTGCAGATCGCATTGTTTTCTCCAGCAATAAGTTAAAAAAAATCACAAAATAAGGTATATTTCCTGTTTGAAACCTCGTTTGGTCTAGAGGTCCTGAGGTTTGGTGGAGATGTCTTTCCCGATCCTGACTGAGCTTTTAGTGTTGCTTAATGTCAGTTTACATAGTCGTGTAAGTTTTGCGGGGATACCAAATTCAGACGTAGCGACGTATTCGTACCGTCGAAGGCTGCTTTAAAATCGACAACGAGGTGGTGGGTGTCGATCCCCTTTTCTGTCTTTCATACAATACGCTTGACGAGACCTTACTTATATGCGATATCAAGGAGGCTTATCCCCCGATATTTGGCGCAGACTGTGGGGTCTCCTTTTTTATGGATTGGACAGAGCACACTAAAATTCCAATCGTCCGACCATATTCTGCCAAATAGCTGATGCATGCACCTTTTCAGCTCTTCACCGCCATCGTTCTGCTCCAGTCGCTTTGTTGTTTTTTAAGCGGGCGATTGCTATTCGAACTTTTCCATCGTCATCTATATTTTACAAAACAATAGTCCCTAGGTTTCCTGAGCTTTTTGTTTTCTGTGTCTTTTTATGTTTTTAGAGAGAGAGATAATTAAGCTAAATAATTATTTTAAAACATTGTTTACGTTATATTTCTATACCGAACTTCCCAAAGTTGAACTTGGAAATACCAGATTTAAAAAAAAACAGAACGCTAAAAGATAAAATGTTTTTTTTATTCCTTACGAAGTGAAACAAGATGCAAACTATTTTTGCATATGCGTAGTTTGTTACTTCGCGATTTAATCTTGTTGCAACTAGTACATAATCGTATACCTAATGTTATATTATAAGAAGCATTTTCTTTAATAATGTTTTAACGACTTAGAAAAGTGATTTAAACTAAAACTAATTATTGACTTTTCTATTATATTTTTTTTACAGAGTGGCAGCATCACAACTAGCAACATTAGGGTGCCCGGAACTTATCGCACAGACGAGACAAGATTATGAAGATATCGCTATTCGATTGGGCACAGACAGCGAGTATTTAAAAGCTGTGCGAGCAAAGGTATGGAAAGCACGAGTGGATAGTCCTTTGTTTGATTGCAGCCAATATGCCAGAGGGCTGGAAATGGTTTTTAAACGAATGTGGGATCGTTTCGCAAGTAATGAACTCCCAGATCATATTTCTGCTGTAGTAGACGAATGAATCTTCTATTGATACATTTTTTAATATTTATTATTTTATGAACATGAAATAGAAATCAAGTTTTATTCTGTAAACAATTTGATGTTATTAAATAGAGACTCTAATGAGCTCTAGATATTTTTAGTAACGTATATACAACGCCTATATCCAACCTGTTTGAAAATTTAAATTAAAAAAACTGATAAAATAAATATAATATTATAATATGAATATCATCGTAACAATTCTTGCTAAATACTTGACATACGAACATATAAATACTATTGCCATTTACAGAAATTGGTTCGTCGGCTGAATACTCAAATGTGGAAACATTATTCAAAAAATTAGCTGGTTCTAGTCAATTTTTTTTTTGGGAAATTTAAATTCCATTTTACCTTTTACTAAATTTTTGTGGTACAAATTTCATATATAGCTAAATAATAAAATAGGAATGAGCTCACAAAAAATTATAATAAATACATTCTAAATTAAACCAATATTCGATACATCCAAATGTTCGAATATATCTACAAGAGCAGTTACAAAATCTCCAAGCTTAATATCTTGTAAGTGACGAAATCAATCGATTCTGAGCAAACAACGAATTCATTAATTGCACGCTATTATTTTTTTTTATTACTGTTTTTGTTTGTTTCTATTTATTCAATTTTCTTTTTGTAAGGCCTGTAGGGATAAGCAAATTATATAAAAAACATTAAGTTCATGGTTAAGAAATTTTAACTGTCATGTTTGAATGGTATGCTGCTCTTAAGTTAGAGAACCGATAACGTTATAACTTTTTTCGATAAATGTTCCCCTTTTCATAAAAAAACTAATGTGAAAACTCATGCGATCTTGGCAAAAGATATATGTATGACAACAATTGTTTACTTAAGGAAAGTGAGGTAATTTTTCTACGTACCAAAAGCGCAAATTAGTGACGTAGCCCAGAATTTGGGATTTGCGGCCATAAGTTAGCCAATTTTTTTTTAATATATCTAGCTTTGCTCTACAAACGCAATCACCAGTAATTCGCAAATATAATTGCATATAAATAACATTTACAACCCTTTTTGTATACATCTTGCAGATACTTTTTTACATTTTCCTCCACAAATCAAATTTACTTTATAATTGTCCACCAATATATCCACCAGACATGGATACTTATCTTATTAAAAGTATGTTTCTCCTAAAATTTTTTTCTTAAGTAATTATACACCATTGTTTACTTGAAATTGAACTAAAGAACTGATTTTGGGCGACAAAAGAATGGAACAGAGTTTCTGCCTTTTTAAAAGTCAATTGACTTTCCATGATTTTGACAAACGCTACCGAAAAGCAAAAACAAAGAAAACCGTTATATGTGTTGTATTTTTTCTCCTGCTCTCACCTTTATAAGTTTGCATTGAAATAATTTTTAAATCATTGCATCAAGATATAAAATCATGAAATTCCTTGTTTTACTGCCCATTTACATTATATTCTGTACAGGGCGAGTTCCAAAACGTCAAAATACTTTGTAATGATGCGGCAGCGAAACCGTATCATATCAATGCAACCCTGCATTCTATAATTTTGCCTTGCAACAATACTTTGCAAACTCTGACATTTTGAAACGCTTTTTGTGCAAATAACTTGCTTTTCGGTGAATTGGCTAAAATATAAAACAGATCAAAGAAATAACTAGTATGTTAAAAAAAAAGTAATTTTCGCAAAAAACTTGCCCTCCGACGTCGGCCGCTGTTGCTAAGAATTCATGATAAAATAAAGCATCACAAACCTTAGCGATGCGCAGGGTGCTTTTGTTTACTCATCAATAACCTTACCGATGCATTTTGGAACATCATCAAAGTTTGCAAGGTTGCATTTAGGAATCCGTGAAAATGTATGGTTGCTTTGAAATTGACGTTTTAGAGCTCACCCACACTAAGTAAAATTCAAAACGCAGTAAATACTAACCAGAAGCAATACGTGTATCGACGCTCAATAAACCTGCAATTTCAATACAAATTACGATCCAAATACTTGCAAAGGCAAAAGTTTGCTATATTAATAAAATTTACAGAATGCTACATATTTCCACTGATTTAAAATGGCAAAGATACATCATAATTAATATTTTCTCAGTAAATAAATATGTTTATAGAATTAATGCATTTGCATAGAATATTGCATCAAATAAAATGTGACCCTCAATATAAACAAAGTCCACAATACTTGTTTTTAACATAATAGCAGCAATTGGAACAAAAGCCGTGGTGAAAATTACAAATGGTGATGAAGTGTAAAAAATTAAGCTTACTTTCAATATAACTGCTTTCCTTGTAAAACACCTTAGGCTGTATGTAGGAATGAGGCAGTCAACAGTGTCAAAGTCACTATCTAATTTTCTCGAGTATTTTGATGATGGATGAAGAGTTATTACAGCACTAGCAACTTCGGCCCAAAACCTCTTTCACTTCTCGCTTCGAGAGCTTTATCTTTCTTGGTTGCCAGTAAAATCTTGGAAAAAAAATTTTCAGAAAAGATCGACGCACACCATCTCTCTGTAAACTAACGTTAAGTAACGCGAAAAGACGTTACATACGAAAGGTAATGGCAGCTTGAGCTTTGGGTCTAGGTTTCCGAGTTTGTCATTCACCAGAGGATTTTTTCCTCTTTGAATGGCACTAAAGGCCTGTTTGTATGCAGTCCTACCCAGCTGTTTAGTTCTACGGTGCTAAATTGTGTCCTATAAGTCGAGCACTCCCATTCTGATGTCGTGATTCAGCTTCCAGTAGGGGCCAACTAGACACGTCGTAACGAGCGTAATACTCAACCGTTAGGCGAATTGTCCATAGCACTGCGTTATTTACTATACTAAAAACGTTTGAGAAGCAGTGCTACTAAGACGGTTCAGGAGCCGATTTTGGTTGAGTCCGGGAACTATTTGGGTGTGTATGACGTTAAGTTCAGTTGTAGTAGATTGCACTTTGGCCAAGCCGTTTCTTCCGAATGGGCGAAAAAAATCCAGTTACTTTGCATTTTTTTCTTTACAAAATTTAGTATCTGTGTCCTTACTAAATTTTGATTATGGCGTTTTCTCGATTTACTCAAAAAAAACCCTTAGAATCATGAGCTATTTTACGCTCCAGTAAATGGTCAATTGTACAATCAAGAATTTTTCTTCCATGAAAATACGTGCTACGTACATCGACAGTATATTTCATAATGCAGTCTTCCTTGCATGCCTATTAAGATTTGACAAAGGGCATCAGAAGTAGTGATGAGGGTAATAAGCAGGTATAGAACAACTGTGGAAGAACAAATGACATAAGAAAAAAGAAAAGTAAAATGTAATTTCGAATCACTACTTTCGCGAAACCACTAAGAAAAGAATTTTACTTTGCCTTCTCCTTCTTTTCATGTTTTCTATTCACTAAATCAAAATAAAAACGACCCGCATTGAAGGTTCATAGTAGCAGGATTTCCTCACTCTAACTTTAGTACCGGTTCTAAGCCTACAACTTGGTTATGGTTAAGGTAAAGTAAATTTTTAGTTAAATCTAGTTCTAGCTTAGAGCCGGCACCAACTTGACTACAAACACACCTCAAAAAATTTGGTTGTTATACGAGTTGAAATCTGTTATTTTGGATGTTTTTTTGATGAAATTATTTTAGATTTTAAAATGCAAATGAAATGTCAAATCATATCGCATAAGCCACAAAAGATACTTCGACTAGTACAGATGCTGGCCACGTTATTTTGGAAGTGAAAATCCCACACCGCCTGAAAAAAACTATCATTTACCAGGTGTATAAGTATGAAACCGAAATTTGCCTATAGGTTGCGCTAGATGTTGATGTAGTTGCCGACACATCACGTCAGCGGCGATTGCATTGATATCCGACAAAGATTTCCAGCTCACAATAGAACGAATTTCATTCTGTAGCATTAGTTTATTAGACATAAACATGTCGTGTTTGCGGACATGCTGCGAAATGCTGCTCGCCAGGTTCGAAAGTCATTCCTCCATCGAATTGTGACTATATATATTTCAAGAGTCCTAAGTCCAAAAAGGCATGGGTTAGTCCGGGTGAACTATAAACATCGACGGTAAGACCAAACCGCTACGGACGAAAGACAATGCTGTGTGTTTGATAGGATCAGACGGGCATTATCTACTACGAGCTGTTGAAACCCGGCAATACTTAACGCTACCGACAACAAATGACCGATTTGGATCGAGTTTTGAGTGAAAAATGACCAGAATACCAACAAAGACAAGGTGATTTTGCTGCGTGACAATGCACCAGCGCACAAAGCAAAACAGGTCCAGGAAACGATAGAGCCGTTCCGTTGGGAGATTCTTCAGTGCGCGGCTTACTCACCGGACCTTGCCCCTTCCAATTACTGCTTCTTTATACCGATTGAACACGAACTTGCTGAGTAGCACTTTACTTATTGCGAAGATGGTTTGATGACTGATTTACCTCAAAAGAGCAAGTTCTTTTAACGCGGAATCTATAAAATGACAGAAAAGTAGGTAAAATGTATAGATAGCAACAGACAATACTTTGAATAAGTTACTTTGTATCATATCATTACAATAGACGTGTTTACATATGTAATTTCCATCTTTTCGGCAACATCATTATTCCAGCTCATAGAACTGGCCTTTATCTGCAAATAACTGAAACAAGTTCGATTTTATAGCCTCGTCATTTTCGAAAGTTTTACAATTTAATAAGTTCTGCAAAGATCGAAACAAATGGTAGTCTGACGGTGTAAGGCCAGGGCTTTATGGTGAATGCACCAACATTTTCCAGCCAAGCTCACTCAGTTTTTGGCGTGTGACCAAAGATATGTGCGGTCTGACATTGTCCTTGTGGACTCACGGCACTTTTACAATTGATCAATTCTGGTCGCTTCTCATTAATGGATGTATTCAATTTGTACAGTTGTTCGCAGATGACATCCGAATTATCGTTTGGTTCCTTGGAAACAGCTCAAAATATACCACGCCCTTCCAATCCCACCAGACCGACAGCATTATCTTGTTTTGGTAAATATCAGATTTGAAGTGATTTGCTTCAATAACGGAAAATAATCATTATGTTTAAGCATATCACAAGCGTTGAAGCGGCTTGTTAAATGAATTTCTTTCAAATCATGTGGGACCCAAATATCAATTTTTTTTACCAGTCCAAGACTTTTTTTGGTATACTTAACATCTATACAATATCAAGCTCAGATACATGACGATTCGATTCGATTAAAACCTTGATATCGTTATGATCAATTTTTCTTGGACTGTGTTTCTTTTAAGGCCTTATCAGCATACAAATTATGCAACTTTTTTTAGCAACTAGCGCTGAATTTTTCCTTTAATGAAATAAGTTCGTTTTCGCTTGAACTTGTTGAATAAGTAAAAAAGCAACATTTTTTTATGGAAGCTTATAACTGTTGCAACAATTATACAACAACCGCAATAGAAAATTTTGCATACAAATCATATTGGAGGCGAATTGTGTATGAACCCATTTTTTAATTGAGATTTTTTCTAGATAATATCCTCATACTCTTAGAAAATTTTTAAATCCTTTTTATTATCTTATCTTAGTACAACATATCAAATTCCAAACTTCGACTATAAATACTTATGTATTGCTATTAATCTGTCGAAAAAAGAATTATTTTTAAGTTTAGTAAGAAATAAAAGTTCTTAACTAAATAGTAGTTTCTATATATCTAAATACTTTCTAATCAGTTAATTTTCCACGGTTTTACTGAGTTCGTGTTTTTTTTTACTTCGCTCCTTTTTTTTCAGACGTTTTGCTCTTTTTTTCGCTGTTTTTTCTTCAGCTACACGTTGATTATGCTCAATTTTTCTTTGAAATTCTTGATCTTGTTGTTCTCTAGCACTCATCGCTTGTATATTTTTTTGACGGGAATATTCTTTCCTCCGCAAATGCCGATAAACGTGAAATTCGCCAGAACCTGCCCCAGCGCTAGATCCCATGACATTGCGTACAAAACTGGGTGCTGTTTGATTACAATTTCTTTCTTTTTGAGCTTCTGGTATTACAACTGGTTTATTCTGTGCAAAAGTAAAATACAAAAAGCTGTTTGAATAATATTTTACATGCAATAAACTGTGCTACATGTGTAATTATATATTTCTTAAAAAACATACAATAAAGTGTTAACATATAAATGGATTATAACGTGTTGCCATGACAATTCTCCTTAATTAAAAAAAGTAGTAATATTCCTGTATAGGGTAAGTTAAAAAATTTTTAAAACATAAACCGCGATTGTACTCAACACCATGATGCAAAAATTCTATAAAGTAGTTTCACTTAAAATTTTTGGAAGCTACACGTATGGATCTATTAAAACTTTTGTTTCGAGACATTCTCGTTAGGCCGCAGAAGCAAGAAAATATGCTTTTTATAAATAAAATGGCAAAAGTCGGTATTTTTTACTTATAGGTTTTTTCGACTATATGCTATGGTTTGACTACGTGGTCATAGGGACTTCCGAGGGTTGAACAGCTGACCGGATTGGAAACAGTCATAGTGCTGGTAAGCTCTGCTCATTATATAGGCACTCTCCTCAGCTTAGTATTTGTTAAGACTAGCCTTCACCAAAAGGGCCAACCGCCCAATCAGATGTTATGGATTTATCGGAAATTTCTTCTCGGATTGCTTTCTCCTGAGCTTCGTAAATAAACCAACTGGTTAGAGCATCTGGCCATCGACTCTCAAGACAGCCGATTCTACGTACCGAAGTTGACCCGGATTTTATCCGGCGAAAGGCTGTCCCCGTTTAGGTCAACAGGTACCAGTAGTCTAAGTTCTCCAACACCTTGAAGCTGGGTGGCTCTAAATCCTTCTAATCAGGGCTGGTGTCGAAACCAACCGTGGTTTTACGGACTATTTCTGCTGCGTGTGTCATAAAAGACTCCACCTCGGTTGGGTGCAACCACTGCAATGGTTGGAGTCACCTTAAGACCTTCTCAGGCCCTAAGGCCCATAGGGAGTGGACTACTAATATGCCGCCATGGACCTATCCCCCAGCCTTCACGGCAGTGACTTCAGCACTTTAACCACTTTAGGTAATCAACAGACCTCTACGATCTCACGGAGCTCCCCGCAGAATGAATCCCACGAACCTATATCCCCATCCCTACCAACAACCAGCTCCTCATCCTCCTTCACTGCGAGGGATACCCAACACCTCCTAGTCCCCTGCACAGTCTGTTCCGTGTGTCAGACTATAAGGTGTCGGAATGGAACCTCAGTCAGATGCAACTCTTGCTCTGGCTGGTGTCACTTTCGGACGTGCTCTGGCCTGCACACCACCCATGAATGGAGCGATGCGTATGTTGCCCCGTGCTGTAGAAGTCTGCCCCCGCCTGTTTCGAGAAACCCTCCGACGACTTTAACGCTCATCACGATCTTTGGCGTTCTAGCCTGTCCGCAGAGGAATGGAGCTGGCAAAACAGGTAGACGATACGACATTCTGCACAATGAACGACAACACCCCCCAGAGTTGGTAATTGCCAAAAAATTAACTGGCCCGGCTTCACGGAATTCACAGAGAACGCCTTTAGTGCTCTTCCCACTCCATCAGACGTCACCACTGGTGAGCGTTCATTCTGCAGGGTCGTCATGACCGCTGCCGCCCGCTTCATTCCGGCAGGCCGAATTGCGGTACCAGCATCCAGGCGCGACACCCTCCGAAGCTCCGATCCAGGGGATCGGCTAATCAGGGATTTAAACGCGGACATTCGTCAACACCCATGGGTGGAAAGTGGGCAGGGTGGTTCCGCTACTCAAACCGGGGAAACCAGCCAACTAAAAGAGTCATATCAGCCGATAGCTCTCCTCTCCCGACACTTGAGGTCTTACTGCTTCCGACTTTTACTCACCATCTACGCCTCTCAGCATATTAGCAAGGCTTCCGAAAAGTGCACAGCACCACAACAGCACTAAACGCCATAAACACCCAGATAGTCCATGGCCATAACGAAAACCGACTCTGCGCGCGAACTGTCCTGGTAGCATTGGACTTGTCAAAAGCTTTTGACACAGTAAATCATTCAGTGCTACTAAAGGACATTGAATAATCCTCATTACCGCCTGCGTTGCATGGGTGCATAAGCTACCTGAGTGGTCGACAATCATCGGTAATATTCCGAAGTGAGACATCAAAAACCAGAAAAAATAAACAGGGGGTTCCGCAGGGTGGTGCCCTCTACCCGCTACTGTTTTATTTTTATAACTCGAAGGTCCTTCCTCTACCAGAAGTAGTTGCCATAACCTCGTATGCCGATAATGGCGTCTGGCTAGGATAAGTTCGAAAGTGAACTGCTACCTTGTCGATCTTTCCCACTTCTTCTCTGCACGGAAACTAAATCCTCGGTTACCCTCTTCACCAGCTGGTCGAAGGAGTACAGGTTTGAACTAAATGTGAAAGTCGATGACACAAAAATTCCGACGGTAAATAACCCAAAGATATTGACAGCAACTCTAGACAGCCTGCACTCCTTCACTCCACATACAACACAATTGCCGCAAAACCCTAGAGCCGCAGCAAAATACTCAAAGCCCCAGGAGCTGAACCTCCACCTAGGCACATCAGAAAGGGAGTACTAGATCTTAAGGACACAATCCACCAACACGTACAACAGCCGCTGTACAGGACGTTGTACAGACAAGCACTGAACGCCATTCAGCAGGAGTCAGTCAACACCTTCAGGGACTCCCTTCCAGTGAATGGCGTACTCGGAGAAAAACCACACTATAGCAGAAAACGAGCGCGAGCTGACTCGAGAGACCTGCGTTATCCTAGCACAACTCAGGTCTGGATACTGTAGCAGGTTAAACTCCTACTAATCCATACTAGAAACCAGCATACCCAACGGATGCCCTCTCCACACCAAGTTATATTTGTTCAGAGCTACATAAAAAGCCATATATTACTAAATAAGAATATTGTTCTCATATTTAAATATTTCCTACACAATGCATACACAGTGAAAATATAAGACATGACACTTACGGGATTCGACATTAACTTTTCCAACTTTAGTCTCTGTAAGTCTGTAGCAGTTTTTATAACACGCCGCTTCTTTTCTTCAACGCTATTTTCTTCCGTCTCCATTTTACTAAATATTTCCGCTATTTTACTAGAGGAATTTCAGAATGAAATAACGTAAACAAAAAATGGGCGACAGATATCGATTAGTTGCGAAAATCGATATATTACTCATAACTCTAAGTTTACACAGAAATACTTTTTGGCGACAAAATATCAATTTGTTAAGGGACGAACCGTCGAAGGACACCACACCGAATCGTTGTACTCGCATGAAATGCTTTGTGTTTCTATTCGTATCTGTATATTTTCACATTCTCTTTTACATTGTTTTTCAATTGAACTGATTGTATCTATACGTATACATTAATTTGAAAATTTCATATTTTAGCTGCATATGTGCATGTAAACATTTACTTATGTCAATGCATATATATATTTTATATATATTGTTACGATTTTGCTGAATCAACCTCGATGATTTTCTGAATCCTTCGGGTACGATCTCTGCATTGTTAAAGAAAAAAATCGTCAAATTAATTAGCAGTTTTTTTCGTTATAAAGAATTTATCTAATGTCATTTGTTTACTCAGTAATTCATAATTCAATTCAATGCACTTTACTATTTACAATCACTTGCATAAACTTTCACAATATACTTTACTTAAATGTAATTTCCAACGCGTTTACTCCCCTATACTCTATGTTAACGCCAACGAGTTCACTTTGTAACTAACTTCTTGGCAGCTGAGTGTCGCCTTCATATAGCAGTCGGCTGCTCGTAGACGAAAGTGTAGAATAATGGAATTGTTCGGTATCGAAGGTTCTCGTTTTATAGCTCTAGTGGATTGTACAGCAACACCAAATCTCTATTTTGAAAACCCTCGGAGTTCATTGCTTTGTCATACCTGGTCTTCATTTTGTCACTCATAATTTGAGTTCGCTGTCTCACAAGAGCATGTACCTCTCTTAGCTCTTCCTCGAGTTTGGTAGACCTTACCTTCCCAATCCCTCTCGCATCCCCAGTTATTCCAAATTTTAAATCGTTGGGCAACCGTAGTTCTCTACCAAACAGTATCCTCGCAGGTGTTTGCCCTGTAGTTACATGCACGGCGGACCGATATCCCATCAGGAAAAACAGTATATGCACATCCCAATCATTCTGATGCTTGTCCACTATTTTCCGCAAGTGCTCTTCCAGGATCCGGTTAAATCGCTCTACCATACCATCTGATTGAGGATGTAGGGCTGTCGTTCGAGTTTTTCGAATACCAAGTATCTGGCACATCTTCTGGAACACTGCCGATTCAAAGTTCTTGTTGTTGTTGTTGTTGTTGTTGTAGCGGTTCGCTAACCCCGGGCACAGGCTTGAATCAGTCTAAGTCGTCGAGGTCATCTAAAGGTAGGCCCAGGAAACGAGCTGTTTCGACGGGGTTGGACCAAAGGGAGAGGGGGGTTAGATGAGTAGGTTTGAGGGGGCAAAGATCTTCCCTGATCTGAGTGCAATTCTATAAGCGCACCTTATCTGGTAACCCAATTGTTAGAGAATGCATCCGCAACTGTTTTGCTTCTTGGTTTGGGATTGGGTAAACATCAGTCCATTTGCTGAAGTAGTCCATAACTACAAGAACGTATTTGTTTTCTTCATTGCTCATAGGGAATGGACCGGCTACAACCATGGCAACCCGCTCAAATGGTGCTCCTGCGTTATACTGCTTCACTTAACCATGACTTCGGGACTTTGGGCTTTTGGCTGCTTTGCACTCCGTGCAATTAGCAGTCCACTCCGTGACCGATTGCCGACAGCCAACCCAATAGAACCGTTGCGTTGCGTTGGAAGGACCTGCTGCCGAACTTTTGCAAACCATATCCGTAAACGAGAGAAATGATTACGACGGATTGATGCGAGCCCTGGAAAGACGCTATGGTAGCGAACACAGAAGACAGATTTACCAGATGGAGTTAGAAAAGCGCGACCAAAAACCCAACGAATCTCTGCAGGAATATGCTTCGGAAGTTGAGAGATTGGCTCATTTAGC